AGGAGATCCAGGTTTGATTACTGGCCAACGAACCTCAAGCACAGCCACTACTCATCTGCCAGTGGAATCCTGCCATGTCACTATGACACTGAACAAGTTTCAGCAGAGCTTCCAGACTAAGCACCAGACTGACAAAGGCCTGGTGACTGACTTCCAAAATTAGCCAATGAAAACCCTATGGATCACAAAGGTCCAATCCCATTGTACATGGAGTTGCCATGCATATGGGCCAACTCAACAAGAAATGAGCTCCTTAAGAGCTGAGCCCATGTCCCATTTATCTTTGTATCTCTGGAACCTAATATAGTGCCTGCCACAAGGAAGGCACTAATAAACATTAATTAAATGAATATACTCATCATACTGATACCATCAAAACCTTGCAAATATGCCATATATATAATATGCATCCAAAAAACCAAAACCAAACTCACTGCCGTCAAGTCAGATCCGACTCACAGTAACCCCTTCTTGAGTTTCCAAGGCAGCATCACTACAGAAGTAGATTGCCCAACTGTCCTTCCAAGGAGTGGCTGGTGGGTTTGAACTGCCAGCCTTCTGGTTAGCAGTCAAATGCCTTAGGCACTATGCCACCAGAGCTTCCGATAATATGTTGTTGTTGTGTGCCGTCAAGTCAGCCCCAACTCATAGCGACCCCTTCTTGGGTTTCCGAGGCAGTATCACTACAGAAGTAGATTGCCCGCCTTTCCTTCCGAGGGGTGGCTTATATATACACATACATACATGCATATATATGTGTGTGTGTGTGTGTGGTTTCACATACATCTTTAAGCCTCACTACCTTGAGCTGTAGGTAGGAGAAATTATCAAAGTTTACTGACGTGGGGACTTACCCAGTAGCTCTCATTAGCCCTAGACCTAGATTCCACTAGTGTAGGTTAGAAAACTCTTCTGAGCGGCCACCTTGTTCACCTTACATAGAACTGATGCAGTTCTGGAATGCTGTATTTTTATTTTTATTATTTACTTTTCACAGTTTAGATAGAAGACCTCATTTAGCTAAGAAGCTTGGATGAAAACATAGATTCTCAGTGTTTCATGGAACATTGCTCTATGTTCCCATTGAGCTCATTCTGGAAGCTCAAACCAAATCTTCCTGTCACATCACATGCCCATTAACTCAGACATGACTTAGCATCTCAGCACATCTTCCCTGAGAGAGCCAGAGAGAAAATATCCTCCCCTGCACCCAGCTGAGAGACACCCATATCCCTCTAAACTCTTGACTGAGAGCCTCCACTTCTCCCAGGCCAACAAGCTCCTACTGGGACAGTTAGTGAAACCAGGCTGGCAAGGCTGAAGCTTCTGATGAAGAGATGGCTGCCCAGCAGTCTCTTACTTGCTCCAGTACCTGCTTCTTAGGTTCCCTGTAATGCTTCACTATAAAGCATAGACCAATACCCACATTAGGGATGTGGTAGCAATCGGGTCTGTGTTTAATGTCCCACTCCCCACCCCTGCATTGCCTGAACATTCGGGGCAGAATTGTCATTGTCCTCAGATAACTCTAAACTGGTAGATAGGTCAGTACCTGGGGACTCACAGAAAAGAGGGTCTAGGGAAGGAGCATGGCTGCCCAAAATATCTGTTGACCCGTTAACGAGTCAGTGAGGCCTCTGCAAAGAACATCTGGCTCTTCCTATCCACAATGGGCAAAAGGGATGACTGCCAAACTAGCCTTAATATTACCCCCTCATTCCCCACTAACTGTATATATGATGTAATGTAAATGGTAAATAATGGCTACCATTATTGAACACTTGAGAAATATTTCATTTTTACATACATCGTCTTTATATACATTGCCTCAACTAATCTCCAAGATCACCCAATACAGCAACAGTTCCCAAGCTTTAGCCTGCATCAGAATCACTCTGGGAACGTGTTAAAGCCCCACATCCATAGTTTCTGGGGTAAGGCCCCCAAATGTGCATTTCTAACAAGCTCCTATGTGATGCTGATGCTCCTAGTCCAGGTTCCACTCTTTTAAGAATCAATGCCATGTGAAAATAAAGAATCAAGGGAGGTCTGAAGGGTCCTGTCCAAGGTTTCACAACTGGTAAAGAAAAGAGCCTTGATTTGAACCTATCTGCTGACCAGCAAGCTGGCAGTTCAAACCCACCAGCTACTCCTTGGAAGGAAGATTGGGCAATCTATTTCTTTAGTGATACTGCCTCGGAAACCCAAGGAGGGGTGGCTATGAATCAGATCCGACTCAACAGCAGTGAGTTTGTTTGTTTTGTTGTATCTGTCCAACTCTACAGCCAGTGCTCATGATCATGCTGCCCTATGTGTGAATGTACACCTGGTCTTCACAAATGCATTGACATCTACTTAGGGCAGCCACCACATACTAACTAAATCTTCCTATACTCCTCTCAAAACCAAGTCCCACCTTGACACTTGGTAGGTTCTATATACTTTTCATACTGGCTCCTACAAATCTACATACTTTCAAGAGTCACAGATTCAAACTCAATTTTAACCAAAGAACACTGCCAGACCCAACTTCTATACCCAGCTGGGAAAAGTTCAAGGCCAGTTATTCCTTTTACCTTGCTCTACAAACAGGTGAGATTAAAATCCGAACCTCATCTCTGTGGATATTTAACTTTTAAAAAAAATTGTAAATCTATCAATCTCCTTAAATATATTACTCTCTGTCATGCTACTCTTAGTCTTTGCCCATGATGTCACCACACTTAGCTAACTCCAATTCATTCTTCAGTTCTCTGTTTAGAACACTTCCTCCAGGAACCAATTCTTAGCTCCCTAAAACACAGGGCTACTATACCCTAAGCTATCTTCATGCCAACACTGATCACTCTATTATAACTAGATGTTTTCCATCTGTCAAAGAAGTTTGTAGACTCTAGCATCTAGTTTAACAACATATCCTCATAGGCAAGCACAGTGCCTGGCACATCATAAGCACTCCATAACTGTTTGTTGAATGAATAAATGAATTAATGTAGAACTGCAAACCCTAACTTTCACATAAAAATATAACGTGTGATGTCGCAGTTCTCAGGGATGAATCCTGGGGAAGAGTGTAGCCTACATAACAAAGACCAATTTTGTCTTTTCTTTTCCCCATCACTGAGAACAGAGCATAATCCCTGCTTAGAGTAGTACCATCTGTAATGAGACAACATCCTAGATGAACAAAATGCTCCTGGGGTATAAGATCAGCAGAGGCCATTCAGTAAGGAGGGAAGAGCACTGCACCTCCCCACTCTTCCCGATTTCTCCTGCACACACACACTCCTCCATTTCTCCACCCCACTGCAGTCAAGGGCTTTGGCACAGGGATGAAAGAAACAAATCAGAGTCAAGGGTGCGGATCTGGCAGCAGGCACAGAAGCATCTCCCATGCTGCACCAAAGCCTACAGGACAGATCCAGAGAGACAGTGACTCAGGCTTCAGAAGGCATTTGACTGCTAACCAGAAGGCTGGTGGTTCAAACCCAGCAGCTACTCCTTGGAAGGAAGACTGGGCAATATATTTCCATAGTGATACTGCCTCAAAACCCGAGGAGGGGTTGCTACAAGGATCTGACTCAACAGCAGTGACTTTGTTTTTTTTTCAGTTTAGAGTAGTACTGAGAATGGAAAAAAGCAAGAATTTCACAAAGGCATGATTGTCATATATCTTTTTAAAAACAATGTTTTTAAAGTACAGGCATCAACTCTACCCCCAGAGAACCCTGCCATGCTGAATCCAGTGCTTACACAAGATGAGGGTCAAACACAGGTTCTTCCTCCTCCCAACCCTCCTGCCTACAATACTCACCATGACAGGCATTTCCCGGACCCAGGTCAGGATTCTGCCCTCAATCTTGGCTTGCAAAAGGCTTCTTTTTAAGGGTCCTCTAAGCTTTCTCTCCTCCCTCCTAGCTAATCAACTGTTTCTCCCCCATACTGCAATAACAGAGACCACCCCTTCCCCCATCCCTTCTCACTCTGTAACAACCTACAGCAGGTTGGCCCCATCCAATTAGTTTGAATAGCTTCATGCCAAGGAAATTGCTGCTTTTATTAAAAATAAAAAGCACACTAAGCAGGCAATGGGCTGTGAAAAGTATGAGTCTGGCATAATTATGAAGGTCGAGGTTAAGGTTATCAAGAGATAGGCAAAGATTTCTCTAAAGCCTGAAGAATAAAGATACATATCTGCATATTTATAGCTCTACAGATGCACATACATGTAGGGAATTTACACAGCATATCTAAACAACATCCTCTCCAACAGAGGAAAAATAAAATCAGAGCCACCCAGTTTTAGTTTTAAAGTAATTCTTCTTTTGGTTAAAAAAATAAAACAGGAGGAAGAGGGGCCTACTAGACTGAATTCAGAATAACCACGTTCATTTCACATTATTTTTGTTATCTTAGCTACGATCTCAGGACCTAATTACAGTTGAGTCAGGAAACAAACCCAGTCAAATCCACCAAGAGCTTGGCTCTTGTAAAGCCACATGTCCATTCTCTGAAAATACTCCTTCTTCCAATGCCTGCTCATGGAAGTAGGAAAGTTGGTTAGGAGAAGGAGAAACAACCCCTCTCTCTTAAAGGTCCCGTATCCCCACCCTTCAGCCTTCACATGAACGTTTCAAGTTTTAGGAAGATGACAAGCCCACCACCATGCATTTACATAAACCTTTATACTTTCAAACCTACATTTTTTCCTCTGATCCTCATAATTCGGTGTTAGTGTGGGGGTTTTGTATGATTTTTTGAAATAAAAGGTCACTGAGGTAAACACTTAACGACAAGCTTTCCCCACCCCCCATAAGCCCTGCCACTTTTAAATCTCAGTTTTAAATCTCTCAAGGACAATGAATCACAGGGCAAGGGAAGGAGGAAGGGAGGGTCAAGTGGTCAAAACCCATTCATACAATCAACAACTAGACAACCAGAGTGCTGCCGCATCAGCACACGATTTTAATTTACAGAACACTGAAAGAGTCCCACCGTACCTTCCGCCAACACCTCGTCCACAGTGACTTGCTGTCGCCCAATGCCAAAGACCCTTCCGATGTAGCCACTGCCCAGGCCCGAAGTGCTGCCCCCTCCTCCGCTGGAGCCTGAGCCCAGGCCAGAGCTGCCCTGCTCACGCCGGGAGTCGAAAAACTTCTTCATCTTGCAAAAAGGAAGCAGCAAAGCAAAATACCGATGGTTTCTAGATTTTTTTTAAAAAAAGGGAAAAAGAGAGCCAAGGATTTCTTCTCAGATTTCAGCTCGGTGAGGAGCCACCCGAATCCGGCCGTGGGGGTGGAGGCTGAGGAAGGATGCCTATAGGAATATGCGTGTCAATCGCGCGGCGGGTCCCCTCCTCCTCAGAAGAGCGATTCGTGTAAGTTTAAACCTGTGATGACAGAGGAAGAGAGGATGAATCAGTAACACACTTAAAAATTCAACTGCTCAGTCCTATGGGGGCAAAAGCTATCATCCTGCGGAAAAGCTCCATGCATTTTCTTGGCAAGAAAAACCCCTAGTGTTAAAAATGCGTTGCCGTGGCTCGAAGAAAGGGGGGACACGGGCCGCCTTGGGCAGCACCAACCCCGCCGGGCACTGCCTCCTTCTCCTCCTCCTCCCGGGTCCTCCCCAACGCCCTGCTCGGCAGCATCCCAGCGGCACCCACTTGAGACGGCTCGGCGGCCGGCGCTCAGCTACCAGCCCCGCAACATTGTCACGGCCGCCGGGCCGACCTGCGAGGCCGTGAGGAGGCGACGCTGCAGCTAGAGCTGGGGCAGCGTTCGGCGCCGGCCCGCCCGCCAGCTGATCCCGGGAGCGCCTGGCGGAGAGTGACCCTCCGCCCCTCCCCCGCGCGCGCTCCCGCCCGGCTCCATCCACCCAACCAGGAAGTGAATCGTGCCGGAAGTGCCTCTCGGAGCAGCACGGTAAGGCGTCGAGGCCTCCACTGCGATTGCTCCTCTGTCGCAGTGGAGGAGAAATAGTGGACTGAGGGGAGAAGGGAATGGGGAAAAAGCAGTTTCGGTGCGAACAGACTTTTGGAAAACAACGTTCATTTCTCCGGACTGGCAGGGCACCCTGGGAAAGGTAGTTCTGCATAGCCCTACGGCTGGACTACAACTCCCAGGATGCCCTTGGAGGAGCAGGAGAGGCGGCTGCCCTGGCCTCGACAGCCTAGAAGATGGTTAGTTGGTGGCGCCTATGTGAGAATTCGGTTATTTAAATACATCCAGTAAACACACGGCCTCGTACTAAGGTTTCTTTCCTGCTGCATGTTCCACTCTTTTGGAGCCATCTTATTTGAGATTTGACCTCTTGACGCAAGGATTCTGGGGATTGTGGTCCAAAGGGATCGAGGCTGACACCTGAAGGACGCGGCTTAACCGCTTAGTCCTACAGGGCTTTTCGGCTTCACTTGGGCGGAAGGGGCAAGAGAAAAGGCGACGGGGAAATTTTTGCTGACAGTTGGTTCAGGCTACACGGGAACGTTAAATAAAACTGGTGCCTTCCGTCCCAAACCTCATTTTGCTCCCAAATGTTTTTGAGAACCGGCTCAGAGGTCTGCTCTGAGCTACGCGCTGTGAGAACGCTCAGTAAGACACTGTCTCCTCCGGGAACCTGCGAGATAGACTGCCATCGTGAATCTGCCAAAGGTTGTGTGCTGGGCAGACTCTAGGGTACCAGAAGACCTGGCCCATAGTCTCCGCCCCAAACTTTGGGGCTCGTCTGCCGACGGTGATCCTTAATTCTTCCAGCTTTGCTGACGTTTATGGGTGTTGCTCACCTTCACTGATCCCTGACCTTCACTGATCCTAACCAACACAAGAACCTTAGGCTAATTCTTTTACACTTCAAGATTCCCCTTGATGCTTATTTTACCCTGATAATGCCTGAGTGCAGAGGATGGGGGTGGAAAATGTGATTTGCAGCTGTCAAATAAGGATGCATTAGAAGGCCTGTTGGTACCTTTTTCCGTCCCTAGATCTGATGAATGTCGCCAGAAGTAGTGCCAAATCCCTGCAAAGAAAAGGGGGGAAAAAAAAAGGTTTTTTTTTAACCCCTGAATATTGAGTATTTTTCCCTTCCACCCTCGCTTCTCGCTCCCTAATTCTGCTTCCCCCACCCGCCCCTCCTTTTAATTCATCTTTTTTTTTTTTTTTTTCCAGCAGTCATTTTAGGAGAGATGAGAAGAATGTCGAGGGGGAAACATGGTTCTCGCTCTCTCTAATCTGAATTTTATCTGAGCTGTGGCTAGGATAATGGGGTAGTGGCGGCGACTTCTCCTCCTTTTTCTTGCTTTTAATTACGTTTCTTTCAAGTAATGCCACTGCAATCACACTTCCTGTGTAGAGGCAGCATCTTTTCTTCCGGAGGAAATCAATGTTGTCGCCTCAGTTCACAAGCACATGCAGCCAACTACAGAGTGAAATGCAGCACTTACTAAAACATTCCCGCAAAGCAAACCCACTGAAGAATGCACTTTCCTTAAAAGGCTAGGCTTTGCTTAAGGAAGTTTGGAATAGATTAAAATAAATGGGAAAGCTCATTTGGAATTTGATTCATTGTCCCCTGTTTTTCTCGGCACTCACTGATCTTGATTGACTTTAAAAAAGAAAAAAGAAAGAAAGAAAGAAACTTGGATCCTAGAACCTGTTGCTCTTTCAGTTATCACTTTTCCAGACTTTGCCAGGTTTACCCAAAGCCCAAGTTTCACTTCTGAGATACAAGAAGTTGTTTTAGTCAGTAGGATTGGTTGAGGTAGCTAAATGTATTTACTGAACTTGGGTGCCTTAATTATAATCTAAGGGAAATGGGGGGGAAAATTACAAGACTAGACTCCTTGCCTTTCATTCTCTCAGCAAGTAATAGCAATTATAATGGCAAACCCACAGTTTTTAAGTACTTTACATATAATAAGTTACTGAATCCTCAGTACAACCTTATGAAGTAAGATACTATTATTTGTAAGGTCGCAGTAAGGAGAAGAGGACGCACAAAAGTGGGGTTAAAGAAAAGTTTTTATTCTGCGCTCCCGGGAGAGGTTCACGGGTCCCTGAGAGGGGCCAGAGAAGTCGCACTGCCCAGGTGAAAGAAAAGGTTTTTTATAGTGATTTTCTTCCTGGTTCTTAGAGGACCAGAGTGAGAGCAGGGTATGTGTTACAGGAACCAATAAGGTTAAAGTACCCCATTAGCATGGGGGGTAGGAAGTAAGGTTGAAGCACTTCATTAATATAGTGTGCAGGAAATGGTTGGGGGCTTTGGTGAGTAAGAGTCAGGTGCTGGGGTCTTTCGTAAGCAAGAGTTACGTGCTGGGTTCTGGTATGGTCTCTGGTCAGGTGCCTCCTTGCTTGACCAGTTCTTATAATCCCCTCCAGCTTAGTTATTCACCCGCCTGGCCAGCCATGTTTCTGCCTAACATTATTATGTCCATTTTATAGCTGGGGGAACTGAGGCATGGAAATAATGACTTACCCAAAGTCACACAGATGGTAAGTGGCCAAGTCATGATTCAAACCCAAACATTTTGACTTCAGAGCTCCATGCTTAACTGACTACACTAAGCTGTCTTAGAAAAAGAAAAAATTATGAACAGATTTGGAAATAATTGGAAACATCTACAAGCTTCATGGGACTAGGAGATAAGAAACCTGCTACTCAATAACTAGGACCCTATACCACATAGACCTCTGGGCCTATTTTCTCAGACATGAAAACATAGCTTTCTTATAACAGTAATTCTGTGGTTTCTGAGGGCAAAATAATCACAGGTCAACCCACTATAATCGTAAAACTCCTACCATTCTTACATTCTCTATAATTTATCCCATCCTCCTTTGCCTTTCTATTCAACTTTTTGTGTATGTTGTCACCTAAACCAGGTTCTTCAAAGGCAGGGAACAGTCGTCTGTTTATCTCCTTGAACATCCAATATCATAGGTTATAGTAAGTGTGCCCTACCCAGTATGTAAATAAACCAAATAAATGACTTCAAATTAAATATGACACAGAAGAGAACGATCTGGTTGGGGTAGAAAGATTGATTGAAGGTATCCTTGATTGAAGGTGCAAACACACCAGCCACTCTGTGGAAGGAAGCTAGGCAATCTACTTCTGTAAAGATTTACCACCTTGGAAACCCAAAGGGGGTCACTGTGAGTAGGAATCGACTCCATGGGAGTGAGTTTTGTTTTGTTTTGTTTTGTTTTTGAGACTAGATGAAATGACCTCTAGTGGTAGTGGTTAAGGCATTTTGTTGCTAACCAAGAGGTCAGTGGTCCAAACCCACCAGCTGCTTCATGGATGAAAGAGAGGGCAGTCTACTTCCAGAAAGATTTACAGCCTTGGGGACTTTTGCCGGTCAGGAGGATGCCGCCA